ATTGCAAGTGCCTCTGAGTTTCAGTATGCTTTGGTCAAGCAGATTGCCACACCTAGGATAACGCCTTTAGTTAGATGGTGTGGTTGGATTTTAGCCAGCTCCTGTGAGAACAACAGCTTGTCTTTAATTTGCAGACCCGATTGCCAGCAGTCTCAGGTTGGTTACTGCCTGCTTTGTGGTCAGCTTCAGACAAGCGTTGACAGGAGCTGCGTGTTTGATAGCCCTCTTGCCCTCTTCTGTAGCTCTGTGTTGGCAGTTTTTGCTGCTGGCTGACAGTTCTGGTGAGACCAGAATAGGGAACTGCTAGTTGGCTTGAGGTTGCTGTTCTTTGTACGTAAGAAGTTCTTGAATTTTGGCAATTAGTGGAATTCTTGCCTTCACAACTTTATAAATCATCTCTAGGTATCAGTGCTCTAGCTTGGACAGCTCTGACTTGAAGAGAGATCTTCTAATGTCTCTTTTTTTGCCCTTTAATATTGCCTAGCTTTATTTGAATTTCCTTCCAAAGGCAACACAAAAACATCTGCTATTTGCCACTGAAATTGGCCCTTCTTATGTTTTCCTTAGGAAGGCAGTGTTCTTTAGTTCTCTAGCAAAATCCATCAGCATGCCTTGGGGCTTGTTTGAAGAATTAATCTAGTTTAAGTGTCAGATCCCAGGAGAACCGCTGTGTCAGGGGACACAGGACTCAATCATCAAAGCTGGCTGACAGTTCACTTCTGGATGAGCCCTGTATTTTTCAGGATGACAAACGGAGTGACCAGGGTGCTGCACAAACACCCATGCACCTGTAGTGTGTAAAGCAGCAAGTGGTTTTCACTCCACTGAGGGATACAAAGAGCATCCTTCGATTCGAGTCTTACCAGCCTTCAGCTGTCCTATTAGTTGTGAATGCTGAGCAGAGGTCTGATACGAAATCCCCAAGGCTCTTTTCAGTCTCCTTTAAGATTTATCAAAGTCTTCTGTTACCTTCCTCATTGTAACCCAGTTCAGTTTCTCTGCAGGTGTCTTTCCCAGGATCTAGAAGCTGCCAGTTGGAACTTTTTAGTTTGTAGGAGCCATGAACCAACTACAAAGAATCTGTTTTCCTATACTTGTTTTGGGGTTTAGTCATGGAGTGGGTTTATTACTGGTTTGCTATCTCTATTATGTATTACTTTTGTGTCCAAGCTATTTTGCTGGATATTTAAGGTCTTATCCCATAACTCTTCCCCTACTTCCCCAAGAAAGAAAAAAACCTTACCATATATCCTGCTTTTTCCTTCATGCATTTAAACCGAACTTTGATGTAGGTGGAAACCTAAATGTCAGTTTAATCCAGGTATTAGTATAACTGTGTCGTAAATTGAACCGTCGTGAGGAAACCGACCCTGCCTTTTTAGATTATTTTCAGACCTAGAATGATGATGGTTGCAACCACAGCATCGCGTGACTCCCAACTGCTCCTGATGTTGGTGCTCACCTTTGTTTTGCAGGACGGACACGTGGAGGTGGCTCGCTTGCTTTTAGACAGCGGTGCTCAAGTGAACATGCCCGCGGATTCGTTTGAGTCTCCGCTCACTCTGGCTGCTTGCGGTGGCCACGTGGAGTTAGCGGCTCTTCTGATCGAGAGGGGAGCGAACCTGGAGGAGGTGAATGATGAAGGGTACACTCCTCTCATGGAAGCTGCCCGGGAAGGTCACGAGGAGATGGTAGCCTTGCTACTGGCGCAAGGTGAGATCGCTGTTGTTTCTTGAGTGTTCGTTATGAAGAATGCAGTGTTGATCATTTGCCGTGAGGTATTTTGAGCTAATTCCTCTGTAGCGTGTGGCTCTCGTTGCTGTAACTACAGAGCAAAGCTCAAACCCCCAAACCGTTCACCTTCCTACCCGATGTCTGCTCAGTTAAAATAACAGCTCTTTTGTTTCCTAGGGGCAAATATAAATGCACAGACAGAAGAAACGCAGGAAACGGCTCTTACCTTGGCGTGTTGTGGAGGGTTTTCTGAAGTAGCCGACTTCCTTATTAAGGCAGGAGCTGATATAGAACTTGGTTGCTCAACGCCGCTGATGGAAGCTGCTCAAGAGGGTCATCTCGAATTGGTGAAATACTTGCTGGCGGCAGGTATGCGTGCAGTGCAAATCATCTAGCGCACAGATATTACAGCCTCCATGTCCTGTATGATTTAGAAGATACCTGGGCTTGATGGTGGCAGTGCTGGAGCACGAAAATATGTTCTCAGATAGCCTAGCAAGAAGGAAAAAGCCGATTTTCCCCTTATTATGGTTTTATACTGTGAACAGAGGAAAGTGCCTCGTGGAGCACTGGGTTTTGTTGTTCCATCAATGTTGATTAGGAACATTGTTTCCATGTTTCCAGCTAACTGCATTTAGGACAGTATGTTAGTCCAGATAAAGCTTGTTTTTACATGTTGCTCCTGCTTTGGCTGAGCCTCATTATCTGCAGTCAGTCTCCCTGAATAACCAGCACTTTAGGAATTGTGCCCTGGGAAATAGCACGGAAGACATATTCTGGAATGTGCTGCATTTCTGTGATGCATGAGTTTTATTATGACATTATAGGGCAGTAAAAACTACATCTTGCTGGAGCCGGGGGAAATGACACTTCCATGTTCATCTGTCAGTTTAAAGTTGGTAGAGACTTGAAGTGTAGTGCTTAAAATAATAAATTAATAAAAAGGAGCTGCATTTTGGAAATCTTCCTTGTTATGGGAGGTGATTTATTTGTATGGCCTTTTCTACAAGTAAGCATAAAATGGTCTGGATTTGTAATTCTAGAAAGCAATGCTCCCTGCTCACCGAGGGACAGTAACAACTGCGTCTTTGTGCAGTGACACCAGCGTGTGACACCCGTCACCGGCTCCCTTGGAACGCTGCTTGCGCTGCACTTCTGATAATGGAGGAAGTTAATTGAGGAGCCTTGTTTTGGCTTCAGGGAGGCTCTAAATATATCTTACACCTTGAAAATAAGAAAATGGCTAATCACGTTGGCATTTTTGGGGGGAGAATAATGCATTACATGGCAAGAATCATGCAGTTTGCATGTAGCTGGCGTGTATGAAGCTGGACAAAAATCTTTCAGCGAAATGGTTTTAAAGAGCAGGGAAGAAATGAAATGTGTAGAAGTGTGTGGTCTTGTAGTATTAACACTAATTCAGTAACGTGTTTTGTGTGGTTTTCCTTGGCATGCAGCTCCCTATCAGATGGAGAGTCCAGAGAACTGCCTGGGTTCACTTTATTTGTTGTAACAACTGAAATCTTCATGGCTGTAGAGGGAGCGTAGGAGTAAGGGAGCACATAGGTTTAAGTGCTTAGATTGCCGGTCATGCTTTTCCAAGCCTTGGCTTATCTGCTTTCCTCAGAGGGTTTTTACTACAAGAGCAGTTTTTACCGTGAGAGCAATGCCTGTGGGCTGTGGACGCTGCTGGTCAGCAGGATACGGCTGTTGTCACAGCTGAAGTGCCTTGATTTTTGTGGTGATCTGATCCGAAATACTTGATGAGGAGATGTCCAATAAGAAAAAACTCATCTTGCGTTTCTAGGAGCGAACGTTCACGCCACCACAGCGACAGGAGACACAGCCCTGACCTACGCCTGTGAAAATGGACACACTGACGTTGCTGACGTGTTGCTTCAAGCCGGTGCGGACTTGGTAAGGCTTCTGCTGCGTCTCGTGGGGAAATAGTTTGGTTTCAGCTGTGTGCCAAAGCTTATAGAGGAGGAGGGCTATTTTAGCAATTGAGATTTATAGGTGAGTGTGAAAAGAGGCATAAAAACTTCTTTAAAAGCTTGCATATTCTGTTCGGTCTAAAAAATATAGAAACTCTCACTGGGTGATCTTTCATCCGTTAGGTGAAAAGTTGTAGCTACAGCTTAAGCTTGTGACAGTTGATTCTTTTATTTCAGCATCATCCATTCGTTTAACTGTTTAGCAGGATGCATTTCTGCACTGCCTTTATTCATTAAGCTGCTTTATTATTCCCAGATTCTTGTGGATTAGACTCTACATGCTCCACTGTTCTGAACTTAAAATGTTTTAGTGTTAGGAGCTACTGCTTCTCTGTTTTAGTTTTAGTTTCTGAACGCTGTGGGTCACTTAACTTTTTAAAACCACAACACAAAAACCCCCAAACTAAGCAATACCTTTTCAATGCCCAGCATAATGTGATCTCTTCCCTTTGTTCCAGAGCCCTTTTCTTTCATGGATCTCTTGGTTTTAGCACATTGCTTTCACAGTGTTTATTGTCTGTAATGCATTTTGTCATAACGAAGTTCCTTACATAATTGTCTTGACTTTTCTCATATTATGTAGCAGGACACCTAAAACTGCCTCTCCAGCAGCTATGGGGATGTAATGTTTGGCTTTTAAGCAGTAAAAAGCAAATAATATGTTAGTTTTCTAAAGGAGTTCAGGAGCCTTATGTCTAATAAAGCATAAGCAGGGAGGATTGTTGTCTTGGTTTTTCTCCCACTATTCTCCTTTCTTTTTCCACACACTCTGCTTGTGTGGGGTTTTGGTTTGGATATTTTGTTCCTTTCAAATAATAATGCTGGAAAATGTGAATCGAACCTGATAAATCAACATCCTAATGAAGTAACTTAAGCTTCAGTCTTAAGTACTTTATTTTTTAAATTTATATTTACAAATATAAATAAATTAATGCTGTAAGTGTAAATTAATAGTACTTCCACTCTTCTTTGTGTATATACTTTTTTCAGGCCTTATTAATTCTTCTGCAGTGAAGTTCTGCACTGTATGTTCCTAGCAGGGAGGACAGTCGTGTTCACGGGTCTGTGTGTGTTGTGGGGTTTTTAGCACACTTATTGCCCTTTGCTCAATTCAGTGGTGGGCACTGAGCATCAGCCACTGGAGTAGAGGCAGCATAGGGTTTAAGGTATTTAAAAATGTATTTACTTGGTTATAAAAAGGTATAATCCATGAAGCATCTCATAGTGAGGAGCAATGCCTGAAACAAAAACAATATAAATACTATGCATGAGCTTTTAAAAACATCCAAGGGTTGCTGCTTAAATGTCACTTCAGATTATTAGAGTTGTATCATTCTTACTTGTTCCCCTCATCACTGAGGTGGGCAGTGCTCGTGGCCTTTAGCATCTTTATCTGATCAATATTGCTGAGAAAAACCTTGTGCCTTTTGTTTCACTGCATTTTCTTGTACTGCCAATCAAACCGGGGAGCTGTCAAGAAAAACACAGCAAGGAAGCGAAGGAAAATTGCACATGAAAGGGAGACTTGCCATATAAATCTGCCAGTTTAGAATTCTGATTGGAAGTAAATGGGGAGATGCAGTTAACGATGCTTACGACGGCTGCCTCAGGTCTGGAGCAGTTTCCCCTCAAACCTCTGTGCTGCTTTGCTTCATTGGAAGTTGGAAGCTCTTTTGAATAAATGTCTTTGCTGTTGTTCTGAGGAAGGTTTCTGAGGGGCGTTGCCTTGCTGCTGGAGTACAAAAAAGCTGCTTTGGCAATACCATGGGGGATTGCTCTTCTAGAGGTCACTTTTCATTAGGAATTCAAATGAAGTTGGATGATTTCACTGTGTTGTCCCAGGGAGTCTGTGGTGGAGTAGGGCATTGAATGCAGATCTGGACTTAGACTTCTGGTCAGTCTGTCTTCAGTGGTTAAATATTAAATTTGCTCTCTCTGGTGTTCACACACAGCCAATCAAAGTACATCTCCAGTTACTCTGATTTCTTTCCTTCTCCATCCTGCAACTTCAGTCTTCTCTGTGATTGCTTCACTGCCTTCCAGAAACCTCCTTTCTACCCGAGGTTTACATCCCAGTCACTGAGGAGCTGTACGTACACCACCTTACCCTGCTGTGGAGCAGTCCTTTTTGAGGAAAGCACTGGTTATGTCTTAAATGGTGAAACAAAAGAGGGCTGAGGGCTGTTCTCTGATGACAACTGGCACCTACTGCACGTGTCTGTGCTGTGCAGTGCTGGGCCTGGGGCAGTGTCCCTGTGGCTGTAAGGGTGTCAGTGGCTACGTTACAGATCACCAGAGTGGTGGTTTCATAACTGAGCACTGGGAGCACACATGGGCCACCTCTGGCTTGTGGGGTGAGGTGCTGAAGGGGTTCTTGAGGTGCGAGGCCGCTGAGATAAGCACAGATGAGCTTGGTGTCACGTTTTCCATGCTGCCTGTTGGGAACAGCCCCTGTGACCTCCTCCCATGGTGTTCTTGACAGCAGCAGCTCTGTGCCAGGAGTAAGGAATAAGCAGTGAATGACCAGCGATCCCATACCCAAGCTCGTCTCCTGGCCCTGTTTTATTTCCCTGTAGATATGTAGCCACTGCTGGATTTTGCTGCTGTTACTTTCTTGTTTTGTGAGCCACCTGTGTATTCTGTTTTCTTCCAGACCGGGAAAGAAGGAGCATAGTTTTTGAGGATTTTTCTTCTCTCTCGTTCTAGATTGAATTCTAGCATTCAAATGCTCCTGAATTAAAGGACCAATAAACACTGGCTGTCAAGATCCGTGACTATCAATTCTCCCATTTCTTCCCAATTCAGAGCCTGTATGCTGTCATTTGGAAATAATATAATCTGCTTTAAGACCTCAAATCTTTATTGGTTTCTCAGGTCTCTCTTCAACTGCCAGGAGGTCAGGACTGAGTGGGATTTGAGGCGCAGACTGAGACTGCACGTGTGAAGGGAAGCCCCTTCCGTGCTCTTGAGAGCTCTGTTAGCCACGTTCCTCAATGAGTTTTTATAAGAACCAGGAGAACTAAAGGAAAACGATGGCTGAGATGAACTTCCCTCAGTCTGTGTATAATTTTTCCTTAAAAGCCTGCAGTGGCAAGTTGTATTAGAAAAGAACAGTGTCGGAGTACGCGCTCATCTGTTTCTGTCAGCTGGGGAGCTGCTCAGTCGTGTGTGGTATTTTGATGAATTTGTATCTCCTCATGACTAATTGTTTCTGAAGTCTGGCTTGCTACCAATTCTTCTGATGCTTTTCTGATGCCCTTCTTCACGGGATCTGTCTTTTCCATGTCCTTACAGGGACAAAGTTGGCCTGACAAAATCTGTAGCTAAACGAGCTTGGCAGGCCTACACCTTTCCTTGCTAATGTATGCATTTTGAAATCTGCTTGCCTGTGCCAAGTATATGAATGACTTAATATGAGGCGCATCTGAAGACTTCAGCCTGTGATCCCATCTGTGCCTTCGTTGCGTTCTCGCTCCTTTATCGTCTGCAGGACTTGGGGCTCTCAGGGGCTTGGTCTGAGCTCCTGCCGTTGGCCCCAATGTAAATTTTACTCGTTTACCAACTTCTTTATGGGGTCAAAACACCTGCTTTAGACTTGGGGTTTAATAGGAGTAAAATTTGAGATTGGAACTCTGACATCTGATTTGATAGAAGTATTTTTTTCTAAGCGGTGGTATGATTTAATACCTTCAGGATAAAATAACTGGCACTTCAGTGCTACAGTTATTTACCTTTAAGCTATACACCTTTCTATAAGCTCTAAGTGCCTGTTGGGATGTCTGCTCCCTTTTAGTGTAGAATCAGACCTGGATGAAATCCTGCACACTGGAGGAAGCGAGGCTGCTGCTGACAAGGTGGTTGCATCTTTGCCTGTTCCAGTGTAGCTGAAAACCAAAGAGAAATTGTTCTTGTTTTGGACAGAGAGAAGATCCCGGCTTTTCTCAGCTGGGAAGTACAGAAAAGAGTTTTAAATAGGGATTTCCTACTCTGGGCTGCCTTGCAGCTGTACGTGAGGATCTGCTGCCCAGGACAGTTAATCTGGTGATGGAGTTTACCTTGGTACATGGGTGCTTTTATGCTGAAATTGAGAGATGGAGGAGAACCCCTGAGGGCAGCTTCATCCTTGCATTCTTCTCATTTTACACTGCCAAGCTCTCCCTAAAGCTCTTTATACTTGTTAAAATTCCACACGTGGCTTTCCTTAAAAGCCTGAAACCGGCTACCTGGCATCCACAACACTCCAGTTGCAAAAAGAATTAAATACAGGCGTGCCAGACTTACCTCTTGATTCTTCCTCTGCGACAGAGTACTCTTACAGACAGATGTTCTTGCCATTGCAGAGGCTGGTGCTGATAACATCCTCCACGCTGTCGCAGCTCCTTTCCTCTGTGTATGACACACCACGTGTCTGATGCAGTGTGCACAAGGTGGCATTTGAACACCTCCAGAAGTAGCCAGTGCTTCATGGACTGGAATGAAACCAGGCTGGAGACAGCTTATGTTGCCATTACAGTCAGGGGTCTCAGAAGCTGTCAGGTTTTTTCCACGCTGTTTCTTAAACCATCAGGGGAAGGTCAGGGATTTCAGGTCTTCAGACTTGGCCCTCAGTCTTCTGCAAATAAAGCAGAAGATTGCAGCACATGTGAAGCTAATTTTTGCAGTGAACACCTTTTGGATGCAGTGTTGCAGGCTCTGAATGGTACGAAGCCCAGTGAAATCCTCTCTTTGGCCTGCAGTGAACAAAAACTCACCTTGTGTTGAAGGAGATGCTGTGTGTGACCTTGGTGCTCTCTTGATGAGTCTGAGTGGCCTGTGGTAGGGCTCTTAACTGGCGAGAGCTGCATTGCTTGGTCTTACTTTGCGCTTGCTTGCCTAATTCCAGCCAAGCGGCGTTTTCAGCCGATGGATCTGATCCAGTTCAGTTCACATTCCAGGTCTTCATGACCAAGAACATCATTTATTTGTAGAACAAGAGCCGTGAGTTCTTCTTTTTCCTTCCGCAGGACAAGCAGGAGGACTTAAAGAAGACTATTTTGGAGGGCATAGAGCCGGGCAAGCATCAGGTGAGCTTGGCCTTTGATGCTTGTAAGCTGCAGCCTCAGGATACATGCTAACACAAGCATGGCTTTAAGGCATCTCAATTTCTTTTAAAATGCAAAGACTCGCTGTGTAGACCAGACGTGTCATCCTTGCCCTGCGTTTTCCCTTCTGCTGGGTTGTCTAAACCCCTATTTTTAAAAAGCACTATCTCAGCCTTCACAAATGCAGCAGGATGGCTCACTGAGTCTGTTTAACCTGGCAGTACGTCTCCAGCTTCCTGTTAGGTCTTCCCTTTCCAGATATTTACTTTTAATATTGAGGCCTGCTTGAGTTTTTAGGTGCCTCTGGTTTGTTCCCTATCTCAGGAAGGTTATCTGGGACAATTAGCTGGTGACTGCTAGAATGCCACATGTCTTGAGTCCTGTGTTCAGTTCTGGGCCCCTCACTATAAGAAGGATGTTGAGATTCTGGAGCGTGTTCAGAGAAGAGCCACAAGGATGGGGAGGGCTCTGGAGAACAAGCCTGATGAGGAGCGGCTGAGGGAACTGGGCTTGTTTAGCCTGGAGAAGAGAAGGCTGAGGGGAGACCTCATCACCACCTCCAACTGCCTCAAGGGAGCTTGTAGAGAGGTGGGTGCTGGGCTCTTCTCCCAGGTGATGGGGGATAGAACAAGGGGAAACGGCACCAAGCTGTGCCAAGGGAGGTTCAGGTTAGAGAGAAGGAGGAAGTTCTTTACTGAGAGGGTCGTCAGAAGCTGGACCAGGCTGCCCAGGGAGGTGGTGGAGTCACCATCCCTGGATGTGTTTAAAGAGTGGGTAGATGAGGTACTTAAGGATATGGTTTAGGGGGTAGACAGGAGTGGTTGGACATGATGATCTCAGAGGTCATTTCTAACCGAGCGATTCTGTGATAGGAGTTCAGTCTTGAAAATTAGCAGAGTGGCATAGCATTAAGAACTGTATTGTTTGGCTGCTGTCTTGCAGCAAAATCCATGCCTAAATCATTCTGCTTAGAATTACATCTAGATTTCCATTAAGTATTCACTGTTGTCATGGATGAGAAGAGAGGCTTGTTAAAGAACTGAAGTGAGCAGTTGGACCTTTACTTTGAAAATGCACATTTTGTTCTAGGACTTTTAAATAACAGATGACAGTGGAAGGAAACTAAAAGAATTTATCTTAGTGAGTAACACTTGCCAACCACGAATACTTGTGAGTGAAGGAGAATAATGGGGATGCGGGGGGAACCCTTATGTTAAGAGAGAACTTAGAATCAAGAATAAAACCACATCAGATAATGTGAACTCTTCCCTGATTTGGGCAATGCTCTCGCTTTCCCCTTCCTTCCTGTCTGGTACCCAAACCTACAGAAAATTCTCCTGGGGTATTTCTATTCAAGCAGAATTGGAGGAGAGCGCAGCCCTCGGGTGCTCGGAGAATGGCTTTGCTGGTCAGAGCTGGCGTAGGTGCTCTCCTCTGCACCTTTCTGATGGTAATAACCGCAATATTGCAGCGAGGACAGACACAACACTGTGCTGAGTCCTGCAGTGCAGATAGCTGGGGAAATTGGCTTTGGAGATGAGCGCTTCTCGCTAGTTTTTGTCCTTAAAAAATAGGTGTCTGCATGTACTTCATCTTAATACAGGGATGAAACACATTGGAAAGCTGATGGAGGCTGCTTTTGGACAGCTTTTGTGCTTTCTGTCCTGATTTTGATTATCTACTGCAGCTAAAAAAGAAATCTTTGAAATCTGTGGCCATTCTGGGTAAAGAGGATGCAAGTAGGCAAAGGCACTGCACTGGCTCAGCGGCTTCTTTTGGCTTGTTCAAGATGTTTTCCCTTAAAGCTTGAGTTGATGCTATCTGCTAGCCTTTATTAGGGCTAAACAGAGTGCTGAAGTCATAGAATTAATTGAATCTTAAAATAAAATACTCATTTCTGTGTTCTGTATTCGAAAAATACCATGAGAAATGCAGTAACTGTTGAAGATCTGCGGCAGGTGGGCACACAAATGGTTGGGTTTGGCCGGCCCGCCGATGTGTGTGGTGCTGCACACATTTGGAGTGTGCAGTAGCTGAGGAGCGAGTTCTGCCTGCTCGATGAAGCGACAGTTGGTTCAACCGGGCAGAGTCGCTGCATTGCATTTCAATGAGGAAGCCTCCTGACATCCCTGCTTAAGACTTCACAGTGAAGTCTGTTAGGAATAGAAAACGCTGCGGATAGCGATCTCTTACTGCTGGTTCGCTGAAATGCAGGGCAGGGCGGCTTTTTGCTACCTCGAATATGGCTAAGATGACCTCGAGGTAATTTTGCTTCTTGCCGTTGCATCAAAGGGGATTCAGAAACGTGTGTGAGACTGCTAGGGCAGTAATGTTCTGGTCCTGCTCAGTAGTTCTTTGCATCCATAACTGCTCTGCGAGTGATTTGCAGTAGCAGGGGTTTACTGTGCATAAGGCAAACAGCAGCATCTGGCTTTTTATGATCTATTGGCAGTGGCTGAGGAAGGAGAAACTATGCCAAATACCAGAGTAAGCATCAGAGCTCAAGGGCATGCTACTAATTCCCGCACATCATGCGGCCACATACTAACATAATTAGCATTACATGTCCTGCAAGTATTTCTGACACGCAGATGATGTAAAAGCATGCATGTATTTCTCGGCACTTAAGCTGTCATTTGCCCTGGGAGTGGAATCTGCTTTTAAAAACCAAACCAAACCAAAAGGGGTGACTTCAGTACTAAGGCTGTGAGGTTTCCTGTCTGCAGATGTGCATTTATGCATTGCACTGCCAAGTAAGCAAAGAAATCGGAGCACTAATGTGGAGCTTAAATGTGTTAAAGCAGTGTACAATAATACAAGGTTGTGTAGGTGCAGGAGCAGAGCGTTTCTGGGTTGTGTTTTCTGCATGGGCTCAGTCTCCGGTAGCAGACCCAGTCAAGAGGTTTCTCCCTTACTGTGTGAACAGAAAGAGAACTAAAGGTGCAGTGTGCAACCAAAGTAAGAGGACATAGGCAGAGTTCTCAGGAATACTGAAGCTATGGAAAGGAGTTGATTAGTTCTGTCAAACCTAATCTTGTCTTTATATTTGTAACTAGCAGCATCATCCCCTGGCAGTACTGAATGGTAGCTTCCACTGTCAGTTAGACATGCAACTGGGGAAGTAAATAGTGAATTTAGAGCTCGGCTTCCCAGCTACTTAATTTACAAAACCCCATGGTCCTGGTATGTTATGTTATTGAGCAGACTGAATATTCAGTGTGTGAATAGAAACTCTCCCAGGAAAACGATGGTCTCTCCCCTCGCTGCTGCGGGAGGGCTGGGACGTGTTAGTCAGCATTCTTTGTGGTGTTATCTTGTCTACATAGCAGGCAGATTTGCTAGTTCTGTAACTAATACAGCTGTATTCAATCCAGCATTCAGAAACTCTTAAAATTAGGAACTCATTCTTGTCACTCATTGCTTTTTTTTTGTTGATTTGTATCATCCTTTTATCTTTTCTGCTTTATTCTCCGATCCTCTTACTCAGAGGCATTTTGTGACCTGCAGAGATTGGTCTCATTTTTGATGCTGATCCTCTCCAGCGTGTTCTAAAGCCGTTGTCTGCACCTCAGGCACTATTGCAGTTGTAAAGGTCCGGCGTGGAGCGTGTGACAGCTCTTGGAGCTGTTGCACATCACTTCACAGTTATTTGGATACTTTCTGATGCTGATATTTGCGTTCAATAGTTTTCCCTTTTTGAGGAGGAAACAAGATGTTGCTGTTCGCGGGTGTGTTGTGCATTTGAACGCTAAAATAAAAAGAGGGAAGCTTCCTTGTGTGATAACAGTGAGGATGTGGTCCTAATGCTTTTTGGTGGTGGGATTCAATATTTAGGGTAACGTGAACATTGATTCCAGTCAGTTTATATTGACTGCAGTCAGCTCCTAAGATAGATCTTCTGCTGAGACAGGTAATTCTGCTCCCATCACGAGAAGGTTGTAAAGCTGAAGCGGTGGTCTGATTTTTGCCTGTTTATCCATTTGCTATTTCTTCTTTACAATAGGAGCACGAATCCGAAGGTGGGAGAACCCCGTTAATGAAGGCTGCGCGAGCTGGTCATTTGTGCACTGTGCAATTCCTTATAAGCAAAGGTAAAATACTAGATTAAATAACTAATTGAAAACATTAAAATGCCACAATTCTGCATGTTTGTGATCCCCCTTCAGAATTAATCTGGCTGTGTGTATATGAGCGTTTGTCAGACTATTAAGGGGTTTTTGGATTTCATTTAGTTCATGATACAACAAGTCACAAAGTATTTTGCTGGTTACTTTTCCTGCTCTGATGTATGGGTTAATACCTAGATTTGAAATACAGCAAGTGTTTTCAGTTTCTTAAAGAAAGCCCTCCCTCCTTCAGAAAAAAACACCTCCTGAAGTGCTGTCTGAAGCAGTAAACCTGGCACCGTGTAGCGATCCTGATAGTGCTTACAATGACAATTCACAGGTTGAGCTTTGTACGCCACAAGTGTTCCCTCTGTCTACTACTGACCGGGCCCGCTCTTGCTGTCATTGCTGCCTTGGCTTGACGAGATGAGGAGGGTGATGTGTCGAAGCCATCAGTTATTCAAAATCCCTTGCTTTTACCCTAGAAGTATTTATGAATTAGGAAGATTAGATAAGTTTAATCTCTATTCCAGACAATCGATACTTTCTTTTAAGTAGATCTTCCTTGTGTTTAACTCTGCGCTCTTCTCTTTCCAGGTGCCAACGTTAACAGGGCCACAGCTAACAATGACCACACCGTGGTGTCGCTGGCGTGTGCGGGAGGTCACCTGGCCGTTGTTGAGCTCCTTCTGGCTCACGGGGCAGATCCTACTCATCGGCTCAAGGTATTCACTTAAAAATACGCGTTCATCACGGGTACTGAAAGAACCTCATAGCTGATTTAATGAATTAGCAAATGTGCAATTCAGAATGGTTTAATTCATATCTTGTGCTGCACCAGGTGGCAGGATTTGTCTTATGACTTCTTATTTCCAAAATCTCACTTCAGGATGGCTCAACAATGCTCATTGAAGCCGCCAAAGGAGGACACACAAATGTTGTTTCTTACTTGCTGGATTACCCGAACAACGTTTTGTCGGTTCCTGCGGCAGACTTGTCTCAGCTCACGCCTCCATCTCAGGATCAGTCTCAGGTAAAGCACAAGGAATGCTTAAAAAAATATCACCAGGAATGTTGCAAAGAAGCACTTCATTAGCAGTTAACTTCTGAAGTTGGTTTAGATGTGAACATATGGAGGGAAAGGAATTTTTAAAAGTCTACACGTTTGAAAATGGCAGAGTGAGGAAGTCGATTGGTGTTGTCTGCAGTGTCCTGAAGAGCACATGACATTTGTTCCCTTTTCTGTTCCTTACACAGCATAGTCCCAAGCCGAGTATCTCAAAAGAGTATTATTTTCATGTTATGTTTGCTCAGTATTATGTTTAACAGTTCAAAACCCTTGTGACAGCACGAAGGGAAAATCTACTGCGTAAATTTAGAATTCTGCAGGCTGGGGAAGCAGCTTTCCAGTGGAGTTCGCTGATTAAAGCCGCTTTTCCAACCTGCATGGCTGGGATTTTGTGAAGAGTAACATAGTTAACTTTGATGTATTATCCACAACAAAATAGCATGGGACAGGTCACACCAAGAGGCAGCATAGCACACACATACACTGTTTGGGAGGAGCAGAATGGAGTTCTGCTGTAGAAAAGTGTCTTTGTATTAACACTTCAAGATCTGATCCATGCAGAAGGTTGGGGTTTTAATGTGTGTGTGTCTGTGGGTTTGTTTGCAGGTCCCACGCGTACCGGTGCATACGCTGGCTATGGTCGTACCTCCCCAGGAACCCGACAGAACCCCCCAAGAGAACTCGCCACCTCTCCTGGGAGTGGTGAAAGGTCAGTATGCAGCCACTGGGAGGGCAGTTTGGACACGGATAGGCTGGGGACAGTTTTATCACAGCTTCTGCATAGCGTAGGCCACTCCATCCATTCTTGAACACCTCTATTGAAGTATAACTTCCAAGTATTTTCTGTAGTGCATAGCTTTTGCTTATTTTCTTGTGTTCTACAGCATAGTAACACTGGGTATTCTCATTTTATTATGCTATGTTAATTTATTAGAGTTATCCTTAATCTGATTTTTTTTTTTAAAGAAAGTGGTTATGGTAACTGCCATAGTGCAGACTGATCAGAAACACTAAAGAAACTCTAGGTGTGGCGTTAACTTCTGAATCTTGAACGGTGGTCATCTAGTATAGTTGCAACTATTATCCGTGAACCGGACATATCAACTTCATTCTGTTCCTGCGGTAGCAATCCAAACATGTTGGCAGCATAAAATGCCATCAATGCAGATCTACTTAGAGGAGAATTGTTCTTGTTTTAGTAATAACTCTTGTAAGTGATCGCAACGTCAGGGTTTTTGCTTTGAACGTGGTTGCACTGACTGGTTAAAACTATTTGCAGTCATTTAATGGCAAATGTAGCAGTTCTTTTCCAGCTATGGATTCTGTACCAAATTCCTCATGTCTAGCTCAGAAAGAAGCAGATTCTCAAGTGGAAAGTTACAGACTGCAACTCCTAATGATTTACAGTTTTGGATGAGGATAATAAATCTGACAGTTTCCAAAGCTCTGTTAGCAAGCTTGACTTAATGCCTTTATTGTAGAAGTGTTCAGTGCTTCCTAAAACAAACAAAACCAAACCCCCAGGGGCACAAATGGAAAGAGGAAAGACAATGTGTACCTGATGGTATTCAAGCTTGCAGCCGTGACTCTCCCCATGCATAAATGCCATGCGTGTGACTTCTCAGATGCAGTTACTGTATCATCTTCCTCGGATGTGCAACGCTTGATATTTGGGATTTCATAAAAATGAGTGCCAAACAGATGAAAAGAACGTGCAGCTTCTGGTTCAAATGAAACAGCAAAAAGCTCAATACCAGCATGTGTGCCCTTACAATTAAATAAGTAAGCATTCGTACTGCAAGGTGCGTTAGCGTTCTGCAAGCACATTTCGTGATGCATGGGGGTCGATGAGAGATGAGTGGATACTGAGTCAGGAGACTGAAGTTATAAGCTTAAAATCTCATTTAATCAAATTCTGAAAAGTGAATAGTCGATTGGCACAGAGAGCTCTGGTTGTTCTTGGTGTCCCAGGACACGCTTCATGCGTGTCTGATACTAATCTGTGATGCATTGCGAGAGGTGGAGCGATCCAAAATGTGTCACTGGGCTGACTAAGCAGTCTTGCAATCTCTGTGTGCAAAGCTCTTGTGCATCTCCAATCTTTAGGGGAAAAAAATGGTGTTTTTGTGATAAACGCTGTGTGATCATTGCAGTGCTCCCACTCTGCTACTCTCAACTGCAATAGAGTTGATGTTCTCTGCTGAACTTCCATTTTTAACTTGTTATCCACACGTGGTTTTAACGTACCAGGCTCTCATTGATAAGACTTCTTGGGAGGCGAGGGGCAAAAGAGGGGGTGAACAAAGAGGTGTTCGTTATATCCATGGGAAGGGGGAGCAGTTTTAAGTTCTCATGTACCAAAATTGTTCATTCCAGGGAAAGCAAATTTCTTGCCTTCACGGTTAGAAGTAGCCCCGTAATTTTTTGTATAAACTCTAACGTACTTGGAGGATGGAGAGGAGCACTTCTGGCCTCCTTAACCTCAGCGCAGGCTGGCTTTTCAGGAGCTGCGTTAGCTTTGCAAGAAATGCAGCAGTAACAACTTGTTTCCTGAAGAGTCCTTGGCAAGTCGAGTGTAAAACTAGAACACGCTCATATGGTATTGTTATGGTTCAGATATGCTGTGAGGTTTTTCAAGAGGAATTTGTGGTCTAATTTTGAATTACATCATCATTCTTCAGTGAAGCTAAAAGGCATATGGAGTAGTTGCCATTTGAATAATTATTCTGGCACAGGATTTACTATCAATGTTTAGCAGCTCGAAGGGAGGAACGTTTCGGAGCTGACAGTGGATCCAGAGAGACTCGGGTAAAGATGGGACCTCCTAAAGAGCTGAGGAAAAATCAGGTGAAAGTAGCAGCAGAATTAATTCACGGGACTGAACAGACGTCAACTCTTACGTGCTCAGGAGGGAGTGTTTTTAGTGCACTACGCTTAGCGTGTGTGTGCTGTGCCCACGTGACAGTGAAACCCCAGGGCAGTTCAGCTCTTTCATGGGCAGAGATCCCTTCCTTGGCATTTTGTACTTGCTCTGCCCTCTGCTGCAGCAGCTCAACACAGAGGATTTTGGCTGGAAAACCCCAACGTGCTGTTTCTGCAGGGTCTCCTGCTCCACACTGCAAGGGCTGTAAAGCTCCGAGGCTCCAAGTGCCCTCCCATCTGGTTCCCTAGGGTGAGGGGGTCTCAGTACCCTGCACGTGAAATGATGGAAGAAAACGCTGTTGGATTTCCTCAGGAAATCAGCAGTGTCACAGCGCTGCCATTGATGATTTTATCTGGTTTGTAATGCACACCAGTGTTTAATACGAGTGGGATGCGGAGCCCCAGCGGTGTTTCTGGTTCTGCCGTAGGGTGAGCCTGGTGAGTGCAGTGGCTACAGACCAGGACTGAAAAACAACGTGCAGTGCAACCAGGGGATGCTCAGGATGTCTGGAAAGCAGCAGGGTTGTTGTCTTAGTCAAAATATTTGAACTCTGAGGTGTTTTTAAACATGTCAAAATCGAGAGTAGACTCCTTTTGGAGACTGAGGTATTTCAGTTGTTTCATAGGTTTTTCTCCAGATCTGAAACTGTGCTTGCAAATGAACTAATTTGCCTTAACGGGGTGCTTAAAGCCTATCAACATGCTGTCTTTACATTTCCCCACTGTTTTAAGATGGGCAGTAACTTGCAGTGTTTCTCATTTGGGATGCATGGTTTTATAGAATTCCCCAAGGTCCAGTAGACTTGTTACTCACCCGAAAGCTGCCCACATCTGCTTTGGATCCCAGAGGAGACCAGACTTCCCTTAAATTTAAGCAGTATTTTTTGGAATCTGTAAGCTTTTTAAGTTAGGCCTTCAGTTTACAGCATCCCTGTGCTGAATCCAACAGTCTGGCTTGGAGAAAGGAAAGGAAAACAAACTGTGTAGCTTCAGTAGCTACAAATTCAGTAAATATTCTTCTACTCCAATATCTGCCTTTTATGCCTGCTACTGCGTTACGTACTGGCAGAGATCTCGCATTGTGTGATTGAATTGAGGTAGGGGCCAGGGTAACAGCAGCACTAGAAAGGTTTTATCGTTCTCATTGAGGTGAAGGCATTAAGAAGCGAGCTGATGTTCTTGCTTTTCTATTCTGACTCCTTTCTGACTTCTCCACTGCACAGTCCAGCTGCCTGTTTGTTATTTCGTGTTGGGAATTTTGTACTTGGGAAGAAGACTAAGACGGGAAAGTAATTCCAGTTTTTGAATGGCGGAAAACTGAGTTAAGCTTGGCTTGGTTTGAGCCGTGCAACCATTGCCTGTTGGGTACCAGCACACCTATTCCCTGCGAGTTTTCCATAGAAACACCTGCAGCAGTGGTAAAGATTGGCAAAAATACTGCATGGTTCACAAGAGGAATGTAGTGAAAATACAAACTCATCTGATCATTCAGCCCTCCACAAATCATCCTGTTCTTCATGAAGAAAAAACCACTTTGTATTAAAAACAACGTAGCACATTAATTTACTTGAGAAAAACAGGCTATTTTTTCATTGCCCAATTAGCCAGATCATATAACGTTGTACTTTGCATTTGGTTGTTGGTTGGGTTTTTGTTTGTTTGGGGTTTTTTTGTTTTCAAGTTTTAGGTAGTATTGCCTATCAGGATGACATGGTCATTCATACAGATGTATGGACAAATATCGGTTCCTGCAGAGATGATGTATTTGTATGGCCAGATGTGTACTACACAGTTGACTCTTTTTCTTGCCATCATTTATGCTGGAAAATCTGTTGGAATTGAACTGTTTGGATGTGGATCCACTTCTTAAATTTTCTTTTTTTTCTTTAATTTAATAACTCTAGAAATTACAGAGCTGTCAACAAGTCCCAAAATTTCATCTAGTGAAAGGTATAGTATAGTATAGTATAACATAACTGTTTCAGGTGGTAGCTAAGATGAAAACCACTAAGCTAAAATGCAAGTTGTGTTGACAGAAACTTCCTGAAGGTTACAATGGATTGTAAACCCAACCTTTGGTCTTTTTAATTTTCTGAAAACACCTTAGAAATAAGTTTGGGATTTTTCCAGAACTTGGGTTGCCTGTGCCCCTGCTGTGAAATACAAAGCTGTCCTTTGGCTGTTAGCAGATGTGGATGGCACAGCTAATAACAGCCTCATTGGGTCAGTAAACTAGGCTTAGGGTTATTTTGGACCGGTAGCATCTCTCTATTCATCATGAAAGGGCATATAAATTACTGCTTTGTTGGCAGAAGAAGACATCCTATGGATTAGAAGTCAGGGCTAGAAGAGTTCCTCAAGCATCATAAGCATAATACGGTATCAGACTTGTTTGTAGGCAGCAACCCTATAAAGAGTGAATGTGTTTTAAGCAAATTTAAATGAGAAGAGTTTAATTGCTTAGCAGAGTCACCTGAGCTATACACGTGAAGGTTATTTTTCCAAACTCCTGTTTGCAGTGTCCAGGAGCTTTTTTTTTCCTGCAGTCAGAAGGCATTAGAAGCTGGTAATGGTGTGCTCCCTGTGTGTTACTGGGTGCTCAGGGGAGCAGGAGTGGGGCTTGGGGAGGCTCATCTGGGTGAACGGACTAGTGCAACTCGGGAACTTGTGAGATTATCTGCAGTGTATGGGAGATTTCCATAGGAAACATCTACCACATTTCCAGCAGAGAGTAGGAAGTCAGGAGTGGATGGGAAGCTGTGTTTGTGCAGAGCAGGTCTTGCCCCC